CGTCTATTTGGATGATGTTATTATCGTGACCGAAACTGTTGAGGATCACGTTACGGTATTGTCAGAGGTTCTCTTTCTCGCTTGTTTGTGTAAAGCAGGTGAACTGGGATAAATGTCATCTGTGTAGATCGGAGTTAAGATATTTGGGCTATGTTGTCGATAAATATGGTCTTCATGTTGATCCGGAAAAAGGCTAGGCAATGTTGAGAATTCCAAAAATTAGGCAAAAAATGAGTGTGCTTACCACAAATAAAACAATGCAAGCCTCAATTAAGGATTTGGCCACTAACCAGCTTTTAAATAGTGGAGACACTTAAAATTAAGAAATACTTATAATGTAAGCTAAACGTTCAACATTCTTTCTTAAAAATTTCTTATATTGTATTTTGAATCGATGAAATGACGAAATGATGCAGCATTTTAGAACAGGAAGGAAACGTACTTTCACACATAATTGAAAAAAATATTTAAATTGCGATGCTATCAGACTAAATCTCAAATACACCTGAAGTTATCTTATCAAGTTTCTATCTTGTATTGATTGTAGCACCGTGGTCGTAAGCGAAATCGGCTGATGTATACTTAGTTACGCATTTATCTATTGATCTATGAAAAAATGATTATATTGCAATGCTGTCAGACAAAATGTCGAAAGCTGCCCAGTTTTATTTCAATATTGCTTAGGCCCCAGTCCAAATGTAATCAATATACATATAATATTAGTCGGCATATTATCACACAGCCAAAATGCCAAACGCCTCTGAGTTTGCTCTGTTTTGTTTCGATTTTTGTATTGATTGTAGTATCTTGACCGTAAGCGACTTTGGCTGATTTAGACATAATCATGCATCTTAGAACATGAATCAAGGGAATAGAAATTTATGAAAAAGTGATTATGTCAAAAGTTGACCAGTTTTTATTCGATATGATGTTCACATCAGTTTACACCTTCGTCCATAACGATTTGGCCTTGCAGTCGATGCCAGTGCTTCGCCTCGAATTACCCATGATCCTGTTTAAGATTCTTAAAGTACATCTACTTTTACATCGATAGTCGTAATTCTATAAAGAAATGCCTTTCGTTTGTACCTGGGAAGTAGCATTTAGTTATTGCTTTATTGGTTTTCTTGCTATTGTTCATTCAGCTAATGTGAATGTTATTTTCCCATCTTCTGAATCTTTCCCATGGCTTTCAACCGTATGGGAACGACTTCTTGTGACACATTCAGTTGATCCGCGAGTTATTGTACGTTTCGGTATCATCCTCATCCAATAACACTTACACTTCGCTTTTTTCAAACTTTTTCGGTGGTCTACGTTCGTCGGTTGGAAAATGCCCCCAATTCAATGCAGAATGTCTTTCGCGGTGCTATACTTGAGGTATTCTTGCCTCCTTTCTGCGATGCCTCCGGAAATGTCTGTAGCTTTTCCAGCAATATTGAGTCTTTTCAATATAACCGGATTTTTTTTGTGCGCACGTTGACTGAGGTGACAGGAACATCGCCAATGTCAACATAAGCGAACTACAAAATCTAGGAATTCCTCTATATCTCTTTCTACGTTCACCGTTGCTTATGTACGTTTTTAAATCACTCAACACATTGTAATTTTCCAAGAGCATGTTCACCGTAAGCTTCGACAAGCATTCGATACAATTTTGTAGCAGTTTTCTGTACAAAATTCGACATCTTCATCGCAATTAAAAACTACACCGATTTTTACGGTAATTACTTTGACAGCTAGGGCGATCTATGGGCAAATTCCGGTTTCATATTGACACACTTGGTAACCATGCATTTTCATCTTAGAACATGAATCAAGGGAATAGAAATTTATGAAAAAGTGATTATGTCAAAAGTTGACCAGTTTTTATTCGATATGATCTTCACATCAGCTTTACCTGGAATTACCCATGATCCTGCTTAAGATTCTTAAAGTACATACATCTACTTTTACATAGATAGTCATAATTCTATAAAGAAATGCCTTTCGTTTGTACCTGGGAAGTAGCATTTAGTTATTGCTTTCTTGGTTTTCTTGCTATTCTTCATTCAGCTAATGTGAATCTTATTTTCCCATCTTTCCCATGGCTCTCAAATCGTCGTTTGGAGAATGCCCCCAATTGCCTCCTTTCTGCAATGCCTCCAGAAATATCTGTGACTTTTCCAGCAATATTGAGTCTTTTCAATATAACCAGGATTTTTTTGTGCGCACGAAGACTAAGGTGACAGGAATATCGCCAATGTCAACGTAAGCGAACTACAAAATATACAGAACCTCGTCCATTGAGGGGCAACGGGATAGATATGAGATGTAAATTATGTCCTTGCCAAACAACTTATTGCAATCTCTAAATCCCGGTAAAACAACCTCATTTACACACTAGGAATTGTTCTTTATCTCTTTCTACGTTCACCATTGCTTACGTACGTTTTTAAACCACTCAACACTTTGTAATTTTCCAAGAGCATGTTCACCGTAAGCTTCGACAAGCATTCGATACAATTTTGTAGCAGTTTTCTGTACAAAATTCGACATCTTCATCGCAATTAAAAACTACACCGATTTTTACGGTAATTACTTTGACAGCTAGGGCGATCTATGGGCAAATTCCGGTTTCATATTGACACACTTGGTAACCATGCATTTTCATCTTAGAACATGAATCAAAGGAGTAGAAATTGATGAAAAAATATTTGATTGCTAAGCTGCCAGAAAAATGTCGAAAGATGACCAGTATTGTAGCAATTTGGGGTTGACCATGGTGCCTCGGCCGCAAGCGATCTTGTCTAATTTAGACATAATCTTGCATTTCCATCTTAGAACATTAATCAAAGTTGCAGAAATTGATGAAAAACTATTTGATTGCTAAGTTGTCAGAAAAAGAAATTAAAATTGACCAGTATTGTATCAATGTGGGGTTGACCATGGTGCCTCAGCTGCAATCGACTTCGTCTAATTTAGACATAACAATGCGTTTAGTGTCTTACACACAAATCAAAGGAACAAAAATCTATGAAGAAATGTTTAGATTGCAATCTGTTACACTGCAAAGAAATATTAGCAGACAAAAATTTAAAAGTTGACCAGTTCCTTATCAATATTGGATTGACATAGTCCCTCAACCGCAAGCGAACTCTGCTAATTTTATTCAAATGAAGTCAAACGTACCGAATTTTAGTCAGTATGGTAACTGTTCAATACTCGAATAAAAGATTGTTACACCTCTTCTAATTTAAATGAAATCATCATTTAGTATCTTAAATCTTAAAAAAACTCCAAACAAATGTACGGTAACAATGCTGTTAGATAAAATGTCATAAGTAGATTAATTTTCGTTTGCTCTTTTATTCGCTGATTGAATTTGTTCTTGATTTTACTGCCTCGATTGCAAACTACGTTGTAGTTAAACGAAATGATTTATTTAGAATTTTAGTCAACGTTCTGAACGTATAACACTAAAATGAAAGGTAATTTATATGAGAAAGTTGCCAAACATCCCTGAGGCTGATTGTAGCGCCTCGGCCGCAAGCCACCTCGGCTAATTCATACGTAATCATGAATTTAGCATTTTAGAACAGAGACAAATATTCATGTACTGCTATCAGATAAAATGTTATAAGTAAACCAAGATTCTTATCCTCTTTTCTTGATACCACTGCCTCAGCCGCAAGCGATATCGGCTGATTTAGATGTAATCATGCTTTAAGAGGAAGGTAACTCACATAGAGCAAACGTCCATAAATCGATTTATATTGTCAAAATTTGAGCAGTTTTGTTTATTCAATTACTTCAGTCTAATTAAGTCTAACAAAATCATACTTTTAAAATTTTAGTCCGCGTAATAATCTTACAACACTGTAATGAAAGGTTATATGCGATCGCAAAAACTTACTAAACACACGTGTTGAAGTTCTAAACATCTTAATGATTTGTAGTGTAGTTATTTCTAACCACATTTTTTCTTATTCTTAGCGCATTCATGGGATATTAAAAAAATGTCGGAATTCTTTCAATATACTCATTGGAAATTCAAAAAACAATGAGAAATGTTATGCTCACATACATATTTATTTCGAAAACCAAAACTGTTCATTTTTATTTAACAGAAAAAAACGAAAACTAAAATTGTTTTAATATTTATCAAGTAAACAAAGAAAATGATTGAAGTTTTGAACGGTTTCATCGATGATTTGAAATTCGGCAAATAAACTGTCGCTATGTGGAAGAGAAGGGATGTTGTAAATAACCTAATGGCCAGTTCGTTGCGGAACTTTCGACCGGGATACGCATTTAGCGGGCGGTCGAATCGGGGGGGATAATTTATAGCCCCACTTTCGTGCGGGGATCTGAAACGGGGGACTCGAGTCCAACCATTCTTTGCGTTCCGACGACTTGTCTTTTTGACAAATCACCCTGAACGGATGTCGTACACTGGTTCGATTCGATCTAGTCTCGATATTTGCGGCTCTTTTACTTCTTTTTTACTCCAAATAGCATTAGAAAAATCTTTTATTTCGTTATTTTTAAGGATTTCTTTTTTTGTTATTGTAGATGTTAATCTCTTGAATTATTTGTTTTGTGGATTTTTTTTAATTTAAACTTTTTTTCTTTATTTCGGAGTTTATAAGGGGGTTGTGATTTATATACGAAGGAGGTGTTTTAGGACTTCGCAAAAGACCTACAAAATTAAATGTCTGAAAACGGTCACGGAGTAAAATGGCTGAAGGCCGAAAAACCAGGGGGACGACAAATGGAACGACGAAATCGCTAGGGCTTTACGGTCGCCCCACAATGGGGGTGGCGGTCGTCCACCCTCGGACAGTAATTAGTCATAGGGTGGGTTTGTGCAAGTTTTGGACTTAACAGACAGCCCTAAAGCAGCCATTTTCAAACTTATCCCACACAATCAACAAAAAATATTACAATAAATTTAAATAAAAACACTGACTAAATCTTTTTTAACCAGTTAACTTTTTTTAATAAACTCATTGACTTACCACTTTAAAGATAGATATCTGAAAAATACTTGAAACCACTCGAAAGTCACATACACAATCTGATTGAGTCAAGTTAAAAACGTGAAGATCAAGATACGACTGGATGAAAGTGCGAGCGTAGACTGAAAAGTAATATTCAATTTTAAACCGTGCAGGGCCGCTAATGCGATGGTAAAAAGACTGCGTCTACCTGCGTCGAGCCCTTTCTTCCTTCCGGGTCCCCAAATAGACGTAAAAAAGGGTTAATACAATGCAATCGCCCGTTATACTGAATTTACCTGGCGGCATATGGCATATATTACATTATAAAATTACGTTGCGGACATTTTTCGATTTTGAACCCTTCGTTTTTTATCGTGTGAAGAATCCTGAAGAACAAGAACCCAAAAGTAACATCAGGTAAAGTTAATACTTTAGGTTGTGACTACATTCAAAAAGTTTAGATATTTAAAATAAAAAGTTTTATTTAGAATTCTTTTAATTTATTAGTATTTTAATTTTTAGCTCAAGCCTCTTCGATAACGGCTGCAAAAAAAATCGAATACAATAAAGCTCAATCGTTAACCTAATACTCATCCTTCCAATTGTACCTAACCCAAATTCAACATATTCAAATGTCACACGAAGCAATCGGCCAAAAAACTTTTTGATTTGATCGTTTAGGGGTTGAGTGGTAAAAATTTATTTGGTCCGTATCGATATTAGACACTTAATCCTTTTTTGGGACGCTCGTTTTGCGTAACCATTCTCGTCCCAGGTACGCTAACGTATTTACATTATTATAATGTGTCCCGTACTTTGGGTTGTGCGTTGCTTTATTAAAATTTGACGCTCAGCAGCTGTCGTTTTTTTATTTGCGGATGCAGATTTCTTTTAAAGGGGGCTGCAAAAATTTTGAAAATTACTTATTTTAGACGGAGAAAATCATAAAATAATCATAAATCATAATGAAAAGTCAGAAATAAGCGGTTAATTACTCGTAATTACAATTTATATAATGTCTTTTTCATGGAAGGTTACAATTTGCAAATTTGGGTTGGAGTGAAAAACATCCTCTTAATTAATGTCCTTGAACGATGTTGAAATGGAACAAAAAAAGCTGTGTTTATTATTATTTATTATATATAGGTCTACTGTTGAATGTCTGGGTTATCTTGACTTTGAGGGCATCGATTGATTGTAGCTTATTGGAGTAGAAACGTCAGAAAAGCCCACAAGAAAAAATCTAAAGGGGTAAAATCGTCCATGCGAAATATCCATTGTGCTGCTCGTTGTGTGGTACGTAGCGCTGTTCTTTTGAAACCAGATGTAAGTCAATAAACAGCAACTTGAGTACTTCCAAGATTACTATTCCTTAACGAAAGGGTTCCCTATCCATGATAAAATACAATATTAAAAGATAAACAATATCTAACAGAACAATAGATACCAAACTTATGGAAAGCAAGTACATACAATGATTCTAATGTTCAAAAAAGAAGTTAAAAAAGAACCAAATAACTACAGAGGAATAAAACTGCTTAACAGCATTCTCAAATTAGTAACTAAGATTATCACCACCAAAATTAACTCCATTTCAACGCTGACTCAAGAACAACAAGACGTTAGGACAGGAAGGACTTGTGCAGATGCTGTTTTCGTGGTGAGACTTTTAATGCAATGAGATATTTATGTTTCATTGATTTACATAAGAGCTTTGATAAGATCAGATTAAAGAATGTCATAAATCTAGTATAGATCCGTGAAATACCGACAAATATCGTTAGAAAACACAAATAAATTCTGTAAATACTGGAATTCAATATTGTGACGGATGAAATCATAAAAAGAATGTCATGATAAGGAATTTATAACCTTCTGTTATGCAGATGATGATCCTTTGCAGAAAACGAGAACTACCTGCAAAGAAACCAATAACTCTTTAACAACATAGCAAAACAATTCAACATGTTCATAGAGCCTCAAAAAACTAAGTGCATGACAACACCGAACGAGTCATTTCGATGTAAACTAGTGTACAAAAGTAGTTGGGAGTTAAAATATCAAGTTACGGTGATATTGAAAATAATAATATTGAAAAAGCCAATAAAATCGCAGAGTGCTTAAACGACACTTTGTGGAGAAACAACCATCTAATACTCGTATAAATACAAAATCGAGAATATACAGGGTGTTAGGTAAACATGCGGCAAAAATTCTACGGATTATTCCTTAGCCTATTCTAAGAATATTTTGTTCTACGATAATTTTTGAAAACCCCCTTTGTTTCGAAGATACAGGGCGAACAAAATTTACGACAGTAACAACATTTTATTATCAAAAAAGACATGTAAAGTTGCTCAATGTACAATAAATTTTCGAAATGACTTCCTCCAGCTTGAATACAAGCATTCAATCTTCTCGTCATTGACTGCCGAACTCTTTCAAATACACCTAGATCGTTTGTAATTGAGTTACACCCAGCAATTATTCGATTTTGCAAATCATCCAAATTCTCCACTGGAGTAGTATAAACTAATGACTTCAGAGATATTCAGAAAAAATATCCCAGGGGGTTTAAGTCTGGGAATGGAGCATGCCATGCGTGTGGCCCACCTCGACCAATCCAGCGATTTCCGTACGTTGCTGTTAAAAAATTACGAGCAACCAAACTGAAATGTGGTGGTGCACCATTAAACCACATTGCAATTCTTGTCGCGTATGGTACATCCTACCAAAATAAGCCAAAAAGTTACGATACACCACGCCAGTAAGTCTTCCTGGTAGAAATACCGGTCCAATTAGATAATCATCCACAATTTCACCCCAAACATTCAAGGAGAATTGATGTTGAAAATGATCTTCACAACCCTCATGCGGATTTTCATCTGGCCACACATGATTATTACGAAAATTCCTTATTGTATTTCTTGAGAAACTGGCTTCATCGGTAAAAAGAAGCTGTGTCAGGATTAGAGAGATGCGAACTAATGTTTGCAATACCCATTGACATAATGCAATACGTGGAGAGAAATCAGCAGGTAGTAGTGCTTGAAGGCGTTAAATGTGGTATTTATACAACAAATTGTCCTTACGAATTTTCAAACTGTTCAATGACTTACAAAGTATTTGCAAATCTTCGCATAGAACTACCTGGATCTTCCTGTATCATGTCCAGTACATTCTGTTCCAATTGTACCGTTCTTGATCTTCCTGTCAATGAATGCTTTCGAAGATTTTTCGGTCGTGGTCATTACGGGCAGGAAATCGTTGGATGTGTTATACAATCGTCTAGCTTCTAATGAGATGCCATCAGCAAATCCATACATGAAATGCATGTGAGTCATCTCGGCGTTCGTATAAATCATAATAGAGTAGTTACTACACTAACTGTTAAAGACGCCAAACAACCAAACGTCACTCAATCTAAACAAATGCGATAGATGAGACGTATTTAGGTACTTGATAATGTTATTGACGTATGCCATACTTTTATTCACATTAATAATTTCAACAAATATCGAATATGGTTGTCGCAAATTTTGTTCGCCCTGTAGCTTCAAAACAAAGGGGCTTTTCAAAAGTCATCTTAGGACAAAATATTCTTAGAATAGGCCAAGGAATAACCGCTTGAATTTTTGGGGCATGTTTATCTAACACCCTGTATAAGAGCACCATAACGCTGATCGTGATCTATACGACTATACCTGACACATTTAATATAAGATGGATATTGGAAAGACTGGAAATGAAGATACTTCGCAGAATTACTGGCAACTCTGTACTATAGAGATAGAGAACGAAGCGAAGATATAAGAAGATTAAGTGAAGTGGAAAATATCAACAAGTAGACACATAACAGGAAAAGGACATTTATGCACAGAATAGAGGCATCATCGATGAAGAACAGGTTCCAAGCTTCAGTGGAAGAAAGAAGAAGAAGAACAAAAAATTATAAGTATGTGTTGCGTGTTGCTTCTTTCTGAAGTCATTTAGTCCATGTACACTTCGTGATTGAGTGGTTCATTGACACATCGGAAAACTTTCTCGTTTTCTTCCTCTAAAAGTTTTATCATTGTTTGCAGTGTAGCCAGACCACATAATATCATTTCCATATAGTAGCCATAACTTTGGTTTCCAAAAACTTTTGCAAAACCAATTCGAACAGCTTCATAAAGAATTTGTTATGCACCGGCAACGTGAATATGATGGACTACGTCGTTTGTCGTGGTAACATTTTGGGAAAGATTACATCCCATTTCCACACATTTCATTACCACATATGTTTGCTCTCATTGTCTTGCTTGACTTTCCTCTAATATCTATTGACTAATTATATAGTCAAGTTGGTTGTTTGTAATCCTAAAGGAAATTCAGGCAGATGTGAAAGGCTTCAATAAATATAGGGGATCCACTGAGCAATAATGTTCTACGGGAAAGTCATCACCGAATGCTAATGTTAATGATATGTCAATGATGCAAACAAGAAATAGATAGAGTTGGAATTAGAACAACACTCCACGCTGAATCGGTTACCCCTACAGATAAATAAAAACGCTGTTTATCATCTTACTAGTAGAGGTTTTGATGCTTTTAACTCTACCCCCTCCAATGAATGTAAGCCTAAGAACAAATCGTTAGGTACTGTCGAGAATGATGGACCATTATCTGGCTTAAAAAATGGTTCAAGAGTAACTGTGGGTATTAGACAATGCCATGTTATTTCAGGAGGTTAAAGTGCTGATAGCGGAAAAACAGTTTATTATCAACATATTAGTTTACTTACAAAAATCAGTCATCATTAATCAACTCGTCAATTCTCGGTTGCGATTTGGTCTGCCTTATCGAAGCTCTCTTACTTCTTTAGTCACCACAAAATTATAGAGAGTTGTACTTACCTGCCTCCTGGTGGTATGAAACTGTTTCTGTTTCTAGGCAAGAAATTTTTGGATAGATAGCGTTCCAATAAAGTAACTTGATGAAGTTTGGTAATAATAATCATGAAAATCATAAAATATAAGAAGTTCAAGTTCTGATCTTCTCGTGCACAACTATATTAATTGTTCCGATGGGGTTGCTAGTAGCAGTAAATAGGTCGTCCTTAGAACTTTCTATGATATTATTTTTGAACTTATTAACATTCCTTTTCGCAACACTCAGTGTCTAAACGCAGTTCCAAATTGATACTCGACTTCCAGGCTGAAAGCAATTAAAGAAAAGTTTAGATTGAATCGTAGATGGAAGATTCAAGACATTTGTTGTTTATTTTCTCAATATTTTGATTCAGTGTCATTTAGTCAATTTTCGGCAAGCCATGTCGGATGGTTCGATATGATGCTTTGGCTTAACTTGGGAAAGTGGATGTATTGCGTGCTCTTATTGTTAGTGATGTTAATTCAAAGTTTGGTACAAATAATTTTTCGAGATGGTTTATTAGAAACTACGCTATTTATTAGACGTTACTTTACTGCAGGTTTAGCAAAACCATCCTTTTTTATATTCCCCATTTCCTTAAGCTCAAATTTCATACCAGGTGAATTCAAAGATTTTTTTTTTGAGTCGACTCCTTTAGTGCTACTTTTAATTGTGTACTCCAAATCATTCCTCTTAATGTTATTTTATGTTGTTCATGTATCCTAATAATAAATGAGATGATTTGCAGGAATTTTTAATTAGGTCACACTTATTTCACGAAATTATTTGGGAATTTGAAAAACAAACGTTAATTATTATTAAATATATTTATGTTGATAAAGAAATTCTTGTTTATTAATTATTAATTACTCAAAAAATAAATTAACTAGTTTGATAAACCAAATCCATTACTGTTTTGAATTAACCGCTAAATAAATAGCAATAAATTATTTCATTACTGTGTGTTGCAAAGACTGGGTATTTCCCAGCTAAATCAGCTCGTTTAGATAAGTTTTGGAAATCCCAATTGCAGTTGCGAAGATCCCTGTGAGTGTTAAAGTTGCTATAAATTGAACTCTTCCCATAATGTTACAAACTAGTTTTAAAAATGATACGTGAAACTGCATGTTTTCTGTTATTCGTAAACGCGATAAACTGCGCGAACATCTTAGCCTTATTCCCAGTGAATGAAATAAGTCATTTTATTGTTTATCGACCGTTTTTGGAAAAGTTGGCAGAAAGAGGACATTATGTTGATGTCTTTGGACATTTTCCACGAGAAAAGCCGTTATTAAGGTAAGAAAAAACTTGTAATTTACAAATTAATAAAAAATTTATTTTTAATCGAAAGATATACAGATATAAGTGTGAAAGGAACGGTCCCGTTGGTAAAGCATTTTGATTTAAACTTCATAAAGAAATCTTCTTTATTAGAACACCTGGATTATGTTTATAAAATTTTTGGTGATCAACTCTGTGAATCTGTTGGAAATAGCAGTCAAGCTAAAAACCTTCAAAATAGTTCGAAGAAATATGATTTGATTATCACCGAGATTTTTTTTAGCGATTGCATGATTGGTTACGCAAAAATTTTTAATGCCCCCGTTATTGGGTTAACGACAAGCGTTAATTTACCTTGGGCAAGTTATTTAAGTGGAATTCCAGATAATCCATCTTATATCCGAAATTATCATTCGAAATCTTTGATGCAAATGAATATTTTTGATCGCATGAAAAACGCAATTTCTTTAATTTCCGCGAAAATTTGGCATATGAATACAATGATAAAGTCTAATGAATATTATAATAAAATTTTTGAAAATAAATCAATTGGGAATAGTATGAACGACGTCCTGGAAAATATCAGTTTGGTTTTCGTTAATAGTCACTTTAGTTTACATGGTTCAAGACCGAAACCTGTAAATTTTATTGAAATCGGTGGGATGCACATCAAAGAAAATCCGGTTTTAAAAAAGGTAAATAAATAAAATGCGATTTAAAAATCATTTTTAGAGTTGGAATAATTTATTTTTAGAACTTTGAGTCTCACCTCTCTACGAATCTCAATGGAATTATTTATGTAAGCTTTGGAACTTTATTTAAATCCGAATTTTTTTTACAAGATAAAATAAAGGCTATTTTTGAAGTTTTGGGAAAAATTCCTTATAAGATTTTATGGAAAGGCGATTCAACTTTAATTCCAAAATATATAAACGTTCCAAAAAATATACATTTTATTAAGTGGATGCCACAGGTTGAAGTATTATGTAAGATTTTTCACATTTTTTTATTAATAAATGTATGTTCGCATAAGAAGTACAAAAAATTTTATCCATTAGAAAGTTATAACTAAAAACATAGATTGTAAAAAAGTCTTTGTTGCAATTTTTTCTGAAAAGATTCCAAATCCAGATTCATATATTTACTTCTTAACCTCTATTATCTTATACGTAGGAAGCTACATATAAGGTTATTTTTGACTTAATTTTCATTGCTGCCACAAGATTCATTTCTGTGCTTTCATCTTTTATGTCTTTACATGGTAAAAATCGTTTAAACCAACAAACATAGAGACACACTTTGGTTTTAAAGCAACCTGGAACAGTGTATGTATTTGCCCTCATGTAAAATGTTTTGCTTGATATAAGTTTGACCGAACTAAATAACTTGATAGTTTCATACAATTAGGTCAGACCTCATAACCCTATACCAACAGTGACCAAACAGTGCATAGTAATCAGATCCCAATATCCTAGAAGTAGAAAGTTCACTATAAACTGAATTATCTGCGATGACGAATTTTTAGTAATTCCTAGCCTCGCCATTTCTGCCAATTTGTTTATGAAGTGATACTACTCTGGAGTCAACAACCTCCAACTTCTCCTCCAGATTTCTAGTCATCTTTATGATATATTAATGTCTACACTACTTCTTTTTCGGTAAAACTCTCATGACACCTACCGACATAATGGTTCAAGACCTCAGGGCAATACTAAGGTTCATCAAGGACCTACACTGCTACATTTACCCTAAACGTTTGGAGGGCTAAAGTTACAATAGATCTTATAGATCGCGGTAACGAGAGGGGCCGCTCCCCTCAGCCCGGCAGCAATAATAATAATAATAATCTCTACACAATCACATAATGTATCAAAAACTAACATCGAACAGTACCAAAATGAGAATCACACAGTGTCCAAGACGAATATTGAAAAACTTGCAACTTAGACGACAACAAGAATAAAGCAAAGCTGAAAAGAAAAGAGACTGAACAAAGAAGAGAGAGAATGAAAGAATGCAGTAATGGCACGAAAGAGATAGGTAACAAGCGAGTGATTGTTAAGGAAAGCGTGAAAAGGCATTGTAGAGACAAGAATGATACCAAACGAAGAATACGAAACCTGATAAGACACTGGTAATAGACGAAGGAGACTAGATAATCAATAAGAAACCACGAATGACAGGAATTGAGGCTGGAAAGAGATACTGAGAAGCGGAAAACTAGAAAGAATGTGTAAAGGTAAAACAGAGGACTAGATATAGAAGAAGAATGCAGGAATGATATTACTAAATATATTAATAATGATTTAAAAAAGAATGCGAGATAGAAAAAAAGTGGGAGATTGAAACTGAAGTGTGTAAAGACGTTGTAAAGGCAAGAAAGATACAAAAGAGAACAGGAAATTGGAAAGAGTTCCAGTCTATATAGAAGAAGGACACTGGAAATCCACACATTGGAAAGAGAAGGTTTAGAATCGGAATGCTGGAAAGAGAGTGTAAAGGCAGGAAAGAACCATACAGAGTAAGAAGAGAAAGACTAGAATGCAACTAGTAGGAAATTTGGAAAGAGACTAGTAAAATAATAAAAAGGTTTCAACGGAGACTGGACAATAAAGAAAGAAAATGTAAAGCGAGGAGTACATTTAAAAACTTCTTAATGTTATGCTCAGTTCGTCAAATATATGTATATTATTTTGTTTAACTTTTCAGAGCAGTTTCCATTCCTGAATCATTTTGATTTTCAAATGTATATTTAAATCATTACACAGTCTGCGTCAAAAGCATCTCATTCTTCATCTAAATTGAAAACAGTTCGAAATATCGTCACTATAAGGACAACTATCACGGACTATAAGGAAGATTTGGTTTTTCTCTTGTAATATATTTTCTTCTACCAAAAGTATGTAATGTTTAACCAGTAATTAAACACACTTAGCGAGAACCAACACGTAGACTTTTGTTTGTAGTCTTCTATTAAGATTTAATCTTCCATTAATAGAAGAAAAATACATCTAATCTTTGATTAGCAGTGTTAGTTTTCTGGAAGAAAGATAGAGTCTTTCACTGATGTAATATCTTGTTCTTTACTAAAAGTATTTAATATTTTAACAGCAGTAACCAGCATAATGCACGCAGTAAGTAATCTTCTGATAGCAACATCTAGTCTTTAGTCAGTAGTGTTAGTATTCTATAAGGAAATTCATCCAGCATACTGCAAGTGGTACGTAGTCTTATGCCAGCGATATCTAGACTTCTATCACCAGTGTTAGTCTTTTATATGAAAGATGTAGTGTTCTAGTGGTAGTATATTGTCTCCTGAAAAAATGTGTTTAACTTTATACAAGCGGTAAATAGTCTTCTCCTAGCAATATTTAGTCTTCTGCAAGCAAAATTGGCTTTCTATAAGAAATATCTGGACTTTCATTGATATATCTGGTATGTTTTTTACCAGATGCATTTAATCTTTTGGCAGTAGTATTGGGGGTTCTTCCAGTACTGTTTTATTTTTTTATAAGGAAGATCTATTCTTCTATTAGGTAGTATCTGATTTTCTGTCAACTGTAACTTATCTACTGATAGCAGTATATAGTCTATATATTTTGCATATAAAATTTATTCATTTATTACATAACACGTTACTAAGACACGCAGAAATGATGTCATGAATTATAATAAATTGTTAATAGATGATTTAATATACCCAAAACGCGTTTTAAGTTGTTAAACATACTATTAGATATAAAAAATTAACATAAAATATAAATCTCTTTTAGGTCACAACAACATAACTTTATTCATAAGTCATTGTGGTTGCGCAAGTGTCTTAGAATCGATGCATTGTGGAACTCCCATTTTAGGATTACCAATTTGGGGTGATCAATTTTTAAATGCCAACGTGGCAGTTGATAAAGGAAGCGGTTTGATGATACCATTTTTTGATGTAACCAAAGAAAAGTTTTCGAGGGCTCTTCAAGAAATTTTAGAAAATCCAAAGTAATTTTTAATCACCTCAATCATTTTTTTATTATTTGCAATTTCTTTTATAGGTTTTTACAAAATGCCAAAAAAACATCGGAAATATTCCAAGATAGAATAATCCCTCCATTGGATGAAGCCGTTTATTGGACTGAATATGTTATAAAACATAAAGGAGCGCCACATTTACGTTCAATGAGTCTTTCATTACCTTGGTACACTCATTATTGCATCGATTTAATATTAATTTTAATTGCATCATTTTTATTATTCCTTTTTGTTATTTATTATGTGTTAAAGTATTTGTCTCGCTTTGTAAAGTACCATATTACAATAAAAAAGAAAATGCTATAAATATTAACTAAACCATGATTTATTTTCCTTGTGGTTTTAAAAAGAATAAAAAATTTCTTATCGTCATAAGTGCATTATTTTCTTTTTATTTCATAATTCTGAGTAGTATTTTTTTCTGAAATAAATAAAAACAGTAATGCGTTTAAAATATTTATATAATCGTTGGAAATTATAACACATTAACTTACGCATTTATTTAGGGAATTTAAGTATTAGGGAAAGTTATATATAAAGTTATACGTTTGGTGAATCACCATTTTCTTTGCTTGAAATAAACACCACAATGGTTACTAATCAATCATCAACCCTATTAGTTACATTAATGTTTGTGAGTTTAACTCAATCGGCAAATATTTTAGCACTTTTTCCGTCTCAATTTAAAAGTCATTTCATCGTTTTCCAAACGTTGCTAGAAAAATTAGCTGAAAGGGGGCATCAAGTTGATGTTTTGAGTCATTTTCCAAGAAAAGAACGTTTAAATGGGTAAGTCAAAAATTATTCTTCGTATTCATCTAAAATAATGTTTTTTTTAGATATACTGATTTTAGTATAAGAAGAGAGGATGAATATTATTCAATTAACGTTGATATTGAATTGATTGGTTCAGCATCTTTTTTGAACGTTTTAAAAAAAATTAATTTCGATTGTGGAGTGAATGTATGTCAGAAATTTAAGAATTACACCTCAATACAAAATTTAATGAAAAGCACGAAGCAATACGATTTGATTATAACAGAAATATTTATTACGGATTGTTTAATTGGATTTAATAACATTTTTAATGTTCCAATAATTGCTATGACAAGTAGTGTTAATCTTCCATGGACAAGTGATATTATTGGATTACCAGATAATCCTTCATATATTCCCAATTATTTCAGTCCATACACTGAAAATATGAAGTTTTATGAAAAATTTATGAACACTTTTGTTTTATTATTTATGAAAGCATGGCATAAATATTATCCGAATGCCGAATCTAATCAATTTATTCAAAAAACTTTTGGAAAAAATACTCCACAACTCGAGAACCTCCGTAAAAATATTAGCTTAGTTATGGCTAATAGTCACTTTAGTATTCAACAATCTCGACCTTTACCCCCTAATTTTATCGAAATCGGTGGGATACATTTAAAATCAAATCCAGTTTTACCCAAAGAATTTGAAAATCATCTTAAAACAGAGTTAAAAGGAGTTATTTATTTAAGTTTCGGAACTCTTTTTAAATCAGAGTTGTTTCCCGATTACAAATTACAACCATTTTTTGAGGCTTTATCACAAATTCCATACAAAGTTTTATGGAAAGGCGAAAAATCGAATGTGGCTAAACATTTAAACATACCATCAAATGTTCATTTCGTTTCTTGGATTCCACAACAAGAAGTTTTATGTAATTTATTTTTTGCGTTTTAATTATTAATGTAATTAAACAACTTTTTAGGTCACCCCAATTTAAAATTATTCATAAGTCATTGTGGTTTAGCCGGCGCTCAAGAAGCAATTTATTGCGGAAAACCCATATTGGCCCTTCCAGTTTGGGTCGATCAATTTGCAACAGCAAAATTAGTGTCTGACAGAGGCTGGGGTTTATCTATTCCATTATTAGAAGATGTTACAAAGGAGAAATTATCAAATGCGTTACACGAATTGTTGGAAAATCCAAAGTAATTTAAAAATAATTGCAAAACATTATTTGGAATTTATTTTTTTTTTTAGATTTAGTGAAAACGTTCGTCGTGCTTCTCACATATTCCGAGATAGACTAGTTAGTCCCTTAGATACAGCTGTTTATTGGACTGAATATGTTATTCGACATAAAGGAGCTCAACATTTAAAATCGAAAGCAGCCGATTTAAGTTTTTATGAATATTATTGTTTGGATATTGCGTTTTGTTTGGTTGCTGTTGGTTTCATTTCAGCGTGGATTATTTATAACATTTTAAGATGGATTTTAACCATAAGAATTCATTTTAAAATATTTAAGAGTAAATTAAATTAATATTTGTAATTTATTTTGTTATAATAAGTTTTTTAATAAATAGAATATTTAATGCAAAAAATCTTATTAATTAAAAAAAAATGTTCAAAGGAAATGGCATTTTTATTGTCGTATTAATCACACTATAGCAAACATTACATGAATTGCCTCATAATTTGTTTCTCATAAACACATGACATTTATTGCTTTTTCTGACAATATAATTTTTAATCCATATTTTTAATAAAAGGTTTTTATCGTCAATAAACACAAATTCTGAGGGACTAAATCGAAACAGCTCATCAAAAATTAAGGGACAGAAAATCCCCAAGCTCAGATGCTTAAATGCATTGAGAACAAGGATAATGACAAAAAAATCGACAAAGTCTGTATATGAATGCAGTAACTTTAGAACTATTGCTCTACTAAATTATACCACCAGAACAACCAGGCTTTGTGCCAAGACGAGGCATAAGAGATGAAATTTTAATCTAAGACATATGATTGAAAAGTTTTATGAATAGAATGTCCCAGCGATGTTCTGTTCCCTCGACTACAGCAAAGCATTTGACATTGTACCCTGGAATAAGCTATCTTATCAAACAGTTAAATGACAACATAGCTCAAAAAAAATATGAAACTCATGTATAATCAGGGTAGATTAGAGCAAGAAAGGCGTAAAGCAGAATGCATCATTCTCTTCTCGATGCTGTTCAATATCTCTGGAGAATAACCTTCGATGAGCAGAAGACATTATTGCAACGGCTAAAGATGAACAAAAAATGTTCGATCTCGTACAACGAATTGATCAAATCTGGAGAGCGGACTGCTACTGAATAGGTCTAAATGCAACTAATCCTTTGAGTCTTTGAGGGACGCCTTGGTTAGGTGGAAAAGTCAATATAATTGCTTTCAAGAATGTTGCCTATGACCAGAAGAAGTTTGGGCTGTAGTATTTGGAGTTTTTGAATTTCAGTTGAACAAAGCATTATTATCAATAGGGCTAAATTCAAGACTTCAAGATTTGTCTTCTCATTTATCTCACTACCACTATCAATTCCCAAAAATCCATGACAAATAAAAATGAGACGTTGATAAATGTTTAATTTACAAAGTTTTACAAAATTAGTACTTTTAGGTATGATCAGAAAAATTTAACTGCAATATTAATTTTGCTGTGAATTTCTTGTATCTACCTTTATGTATAATAATTTCCATTATATGAAAAAATAAAAAAATTGTATATGAATATTTTACTATCACCTATTTGTTTATTTTTAACATATAAAAACGCAAGAATTTGTTTAAAATAACTTTCGCGGTATAATTTTAAAAGGAAAATACCTAATTTTCGCATAATAATGTAAACAGAATATGGGTTTTCCTATTATATGTTTCATCCAGATAGTATCAAGATTAAAAAAAAAATTATAATTGTATTTTATATGAGAAATTGAGAAAAATTCTAACACCTTAACACAGAATTTAAAAAAGTATTTCTTTGATATGGAATTTTTCAGAACTGAAACATATAAAAGTCGATGGCGCAATGAGTCAAGTTGAATTTCTTTTATAACTTTACTCGAAACTATACCGATGATGTTTTTAAAATTATTCTTATTGATCGCGTTATTTTACATAAACTTAGCTCATTCTGCAAATATTTTAGCACTTTTTCCGATTCCATGTAGAAGCCATTTCGCAATATATCAACCGTTATTGGAAAAATTGGCCGAAAGAGGACATCAGATTGATGTATTAACTCATTTTCCAAGAAAGATACCTTTAAATGGGTAAGTTAAATTTTTCGTATCATCTTCTTTTTGCATAAATATAAAAATAGCAATTTTAATTAGTTATACAGATTACAGTATAAGGAGAGAAGATGAGTTTTACTTATTTAACATAGATATTGAAATGGTTAAATCATTGTCTCTCTCAGATATTTTAAACATAATCAATTTTAAAACTGGAGTAGCTATATGTTACCATGCTCAAAATAAGACGGCAACTCAACATTTGATGAAGAGTAAAAAAGAATATGATTTGATTATAACAGAAATATTCTTTAGTGATTGTTCACTAGGGTTTGCAACTATATTTAATGTTCCAATAATAGTAATGACTAGTAGTGTTAGTATGCCATGGGCTAGTGATATCGTTGGTTTGCCAGATAATCCTTCGTATATACCACATTATTTCAGTCCGTACAGTCAAGATATGACATTTTTAGAAAAATTAATGAACACTGTTACTTTACAACTAATAAAAATGTGGCATTCTTATTATCCATCTCAAGAAGCTAATAAGTTTATACAGGAAACTTTTGGTAGAAACAGTCCACATATAGAAGACATTCGCAAGAATATTAGTTTGGTTATGGTTAACAGTCATTTTAGTCTGCAGCAATCTCGACCTTTACCTCCAAATTTTATCGAAATCGGTGGAATACATTTAAAACCGAATCCAGTTTTACCAAAAGAATTTGAAAATCATCTTAAAACAAATTTAAAAGGAGTCGTTTATTTCAGTTTTGGAACAACTTTTAAATCGGAAACATTCCCCGATTATAAATTAAAATCAATTTTTGAGGCCTTATCAGAAATTCCTTACAAAGTTTTATGGAAAGGAAAAAGATCAGATGTAGCAAAACATTTAAATATTCCATCGAATATTCAGTTTATTCCTTGGATGCCACAATTAGAAGTTTTATGTACAACTTTATTTCTTTTGTAATCTATTTGTGTTAATGCATTAATTTTTAGGTCACCCTAATTTAAAACTTTTTATCAGTCATTGCGGGTTAGGTGGCGTACAAGAAGCGATTTATTGTGGAAAACCAGTTCTAGGTCTTCCAATTTGGGCTGATCAATTCGCACAAGCAAAAATAATCAATGACAAAGGTTTAGGTTTAACAATTCCGTTATTACAACACTTTACGAAAGAGAACTTGTTAAATATGTTGCAACAATTATTAGAAAATCCTAGGTAATGATTAAGAATTTTAATAAATAGATTGGTGAAATTATGGAAAAACGGACGGAAACGTAACATATAATCTTTAAACTTTTAGATACACTGAAAATGCTCGTCGTTCATCGGAAATATTCCGAGATAGACCAGTTAGACCATTAGATACAGCGGTGTATTGGGCTGAATATGTTATTCGACACAAAGGAGCTCCACATTTAAAATCAAAAGCAGCATATTTAACATTTTATGAATATTATTGCTTAGATGTTGCGTTTACATTATGTTTTGCTACTTTAATTTTGGGCTGGACTTTTTATAAGATTTTAAAAAGAATTATGAATTTAATTTTTGCTTTTAGAGTATTTAAACGCAAGTTAGAATAACTTTTATAACCTTATCATTACCTCAATGTATATTGTAATTATAAAGTTATACTATGTATAATATTAGTTATAATTTTTAATTATAGCTAACAATTTATTTGCTTGTTAAATAAATAAAGAGTATAATATCTCACTTAGTTCTTGAGATACAATTTATTAAAGATTGTTGTCTTGCAATATAACATCCAAAAATGTGGTTCAATGCAAAAAATCATTACCTATAAAATTTGAAAACTTTAAGAAATAACCTTAAACATTTTAAATTCCTACTATTTAATAATAATTAGGAGCTAATAGTGTAATTTAGGAGCTTATTAGGTATGTTACTTGTAAGGCCGCTTTTCTGTTTTTCAGTATCCTCTTCTGTTTCCAAATTTATTTCGATTGTTTCAGATGTTAAATGAATACACAAAGACGCAAATTCATTCACTAGCTTCCTTCTGTATCTCAGCATCTTCCAGACTTACAGAGATCGTGGTCCATAGCACTTCTGAACTGTCTCCAGTACTCCCTCTTGTTGGTTTTGATGCCTGATCTTCTGTGTTGGTGAGTTTTTATAGCTTTTCCTTTTTATTTCGGCACGTTCGTTTCTTCGTAAAATCATGGTTTAGTGTGGTTGCTGGCGTTTATATTATTTTTTCGTTTCCCTATAGACTCTTCTGCAGTTTTTGTGTAGGTATTTTGTAATTTATTTGCGAGTCTGTTTTTGTTAAGTTTTCGTGTTCTTTCTGCCAATAAGGAGTCAATGTTGTATTTTTCCACATATATGGGCTTCTTTTTGTTTGTGCTTGGCCGTTCCATTAATGTTTTGATTTTTAAAAGTTCTCTGATTCTTCTGCGTTCTTGGATATATTGGAAGCATGTATACTTACAAAGTATGCTATCATCTGTACGCTCAATATTCTGTCATTTACGTATTCGGTGTCTTCTATGTTCTGCGAATACCTTTTGTGCGGTAACATGCTGACACCAAAATTTGCTCTCTCTCTCGTTTTCCCATTCCGCTGTATAGCAAGTTGTAGTCTTCAAGTTGTGTCTCAGTAATGTGTTTAAAATATTTATATAATCGTTGGAATTTATAACACATTAACTTACGCATTTATTTAGGGAATTTAAGTATTAGGGAAAGTTATATATAAAGTTATACGTTTGATGAATCAGTATTTTCTTTACTTGAAAGAAGCACTGCAATGGTTACTACATTAACCCTATTAGTTACAATAATGTTTGTGAGGTTAACTCAATTGGCGAACATTTTTGGACTTTTTCCGTCTCAATTTAAAAGTCATTTCATCGTTTTCCAAACGTTGCTAGAAAAATTAGCTGAAAGAGGGCATCATGTTGATGTTTCGAGTCATTTTACAAGAAAGGAACATTTAAATGGGTAAGTCAGAAATTTGATTCTTCTTATTCATCTAATGTTTTTTTTAAATATACAGATTTTAGTATACAACAATCTCGACATTTACTCCCTAATTTTATCGAAATCGGTGGGATCCATTTAAAATCAAATCCAGTTTTACCCAAAGAATTTGAAAATCATCTTAAAACAGACTTAAAAGGAGTTATTTATTTAAGTTTCGGAACTCTTTTTAAATCGGAGTTGTTTCCCGATTACAAATTACAACCATTTTTTGAGGCTTTATCACAAATTCCATATAAAGTTTTATGGAAAGGCGAAAAATCGATGTGGCTAAACATTTAAATATACCATCAAATATTCATTTCGTTTCTTGGATTCCACAACAAGAAGTTTTATGTAATATATTTTTTGCATTTTAATTATTAATGTTATTAAACAACTTTTTAGGTCACCCCAATTTAAAATTATTCATAAGTTATTGTGGTTTAGCCGGCGCTCAAGAAGCAGTTTATTGCGGAAAACCCATATTGGCCCTTCCAGTTTGGGTCGATCAATTTTTAACAGAAAAAATTAGTGTCAGATAGAGGCTGGAGTTTATGTATTCCATTATTCGAAGATGTTACAAAGAAAGAATTATCAAATGCGTTACACGAATTGTTGGAAAATCCAAAGTAATTTTAAAATAATTGCAAAACATTATTTGGAATTTATTTTTTTTAGATTTAGTCAAAACGTTCGTCGTGCTTCTCACATATTCCGAGATAGACTCGTTAGCCCCTTAGATACAGCTGTTTATTGGACTGAATATGTTATTCGACATAAAGGAGCACAACATTTAAAATCGAAAGCAGCCGATTTAAGTTTTTATGAATATTATTGTTTGGATATTGCGTTTTGTTTGGTTGCTGTTGGTTTCATTTCAGCGTGGATTATTTATAACATTTTAAGATGGATTTTAACCATAAGAATTCATTTTAAAATATTTAAGAGTAAATTAAATTAATATTTGTAATTTATTTTTAGTTATAATAAGTTTTTTAATAAATTGAATTTTTAATGCAAAAAGTCTTATTAATTAAAAAAAAATGTTCAAAGGAAATGGCATTTTTATTGTCGTATTAATCTCACTATAGTAAACATTACATAAATTGCCTCATAATTTGTTTCTCATAAACACATGACATTTATTGCTTTTTCTAACAATATAATTTTTAATTAATATTTTTAATAAAAGGTTTCTATCGTCAATAAACACAAATTTTGAGGGACTAAATCGAAACAGCTCATCAAAAATTAAGGGACAGAAAATCCCGAAGCTCAGATGCTTAAATGCATTGAAAACAAGGATAATGCCAAAAAGAATCGACAAAGTCTGTATATGAATGCAGTAACTTTAGAACTATTGCTCTACTAAATTGTACCACCAGAACAACCAGGCTTTGTGCCAAGACGAGGCACAAGAGATGAAATTTTAATCTAAGACATATGATTGAAAAGTTTTATGAATAGAATGTGCCAGCGATATTCTGTTCCCTCGACTACAGCAAAGCATTTGACATTGTACCCTGGAATAAGCTATCTTATCAAACAGTTAAATGACAACATAGCTCAAAAAAAATATGAAACTCATGTATATTCAGGGTACATTAGAGCAAGAAAGGCGTAAAGCAGAATGCATCATTCTCTTCTCGATGCTATTCAATATCTATGAAGAATAACCTTCGATGCGCAGAAGACATTATCGCAACGGCTAAAGATGAACAAAAAATGTTCGATCTCGTACAACGAATTGATCAAATCTGGAGAGCGGACTGCTACTGAATAGGTCTAAATGCAACTAATCCTTTGAGTCTTTGAGGGACGCCTTGGTTAGGTGGAAAAGTCAATATAATTACTTACAAGAATGTTGCCTATGACCAGAAGAAGTTTGGGCTGTAGTATTTGGAGTTTCTGAATTTCAGTTGAACAAAACATTATCAATAGGGCTAAATTCAAAACTTCAAGATTTGTCTTCTCATTTATCTCACTACAACTATCAATTCAAAAATATCCATGACAAATAAAAATGAGACGTTCATAAATATTTAATTTACAAAGTTTTACAGAATTAATACTTTTAAGTATAATCAGAAAAATTTAACTGTAATATTAATTTTGCTGTGAATTTCTTGTATCTACCTTTATGTATAACAATTTCCATTATATGAAAAAATAAAAAAAAATGTATATGAATATTTTACTATCACCTATTTGTTTATTTTTAACATATAAAAACGCAAGAATTTGTTTAAAATAACTTTCGCGGTATAATTTTAAAAGGAAAATACCTAATTTTCGCATAATAATGTAAGCAGAATATGGGTTTTCCTATTATATGTTTCATCAAGATAGTATCAAGATTAAAAAAAAAATTTATAATTGTATTTTATATGAGAAATTGAGAAAAATTCTAACACCTTAACATAGAATTTAAAAAAGTATTTCTTTGATATGGAATTTTTCAGAACTGAAACATATAAAAGTCNGAAATTTTAATCTAAGACATATGATTGAAAAGTTTTATGAATAGAATGTCCCAGCGATGTTCTGTTCCCTCGACTACAGCAAAGCATTTGACATTGTACCCTGGAATAAGCTATCTTATCAAACAGTTAAATGACAACATAGCTCAAAAAAAATATGAAACTCAGGTATATTCAGGGTACATTAGAGCAGGAAAGGCGTAAAGCAGAATACATCATTCTCTTCTCGATGCTGTTCAATATCTATGGAGAATAACCTTCGATGCGCAGAAGACATTATCGCAACGGCTAAAGATGAACAAAAAATGTTCGATCTCTCACAACGAATTGATCAAATCTGGAGAGCGGACTGCTACTGAATAGGTCTAAATGCAACTAATCCTTTGAGTCTTTGAGGGACGCCTCGGTTAGGTGGAAAAGTCAATATAGTTGCTCTCAAGAATGTTGCCTATGACCAGAAGAAGTTTGAGCTGTTGTGTTATCAATAGGGCATTATCAATAGGGCTAAACTCAAGACTTCAAGATTTGTCTTCTCATTTATCTCACTACCACTATCAACCCCCAAAAATCCCTGACAAATAAAAATGAGACGTTGATAAATGTTTAATTTACAAAGTTTTACAAAATTAGTACTTTTAGGTATAATCAGAAAAATTTAACTGTAATATTAATTTTGCTGTGAATTTGTTGTGTCTACCTTTATGTATAATAATTTCCATTATATGAAAAAATAAAAAAATTGTATATGAATATTTTACTATCACCTATTTGTTTATTTTTAACATATAAAAACGCAAGAATTTGTTTAAAATAACTTTCGCGGTATAATTTTAAAAGGAAAATACCTAATTTTCGCATAATAATGTAAGCAGAATATGGGTTTTCCTATTATATGTTTCATCAAGATAGTATCAAGATTAAAAAAAAAATTTATAATTGTATTTTATATGAGAAATTGAGAAAAATTCTAACACCTTAACATAGAATTTAAAAAAGTATTTCTTTGATATGGAATTTTTCAGAACTGAAACATATAAAAGTCAATGGCGCAATGAGTCACGTTGAATTTCTTTTATAACTTTACTCGAAACTAAACCGACGATGTTTTTAAAATTATTCTTATTGATCGCGTTATTTTACATAAACTTAGCTCATTCTGCAAATATTTTAGCACTTTTTCCGATTCCATGTAGAAGCCATTTCGCAATATATCAACCGTTATTGGAAAAATTGGCCGAAAGAGGACATCAGATTGATGTATTAACTCATTTTCCAAGAAACATACCTTTAAATGGGTAAGTTAAATTTTTCGTATCATTTTCTTTTTGCATAAATATAAAAATAGCAATTTTGATTAGTTATACAGATTACAGTATAAGGAGAGAAGATGAGTTTTACTCATTTGACATAGATATTGAAATGGTTAAATCATTGTCTCTCTTAGATATTTTAAACATAATCAATTTTAATGCTGGAGCGACTATATGTTACAATGCTCAAAATAAGACGGCAACTCAAAATTTGATGAAGAGCAAAAAAGAATATGATTTAATTATAACAGAGATATTCTTTAGTGATTGTTCGCTCGGGTTTGCAACTATGTTTAATGTTCCAATAATAGTAATGACTAGTAGTGTTAGTATGCCATGGGCTAGTGATATCGCTGGTTTGCCAGATAATCCTTCGTATATACCACATTATTTCAGTCCGTACAGTCAAGATATGACATTTTTAGAAAAATTAATGAACACTGTTACTTTACAACTAATAAAAATGTGGCATACTTATTATCCATCTGAAGAAGCTAATAAGTTTATACAGGAAACTTTTGGTAGAAACAGTCCACATATAGAAGACATTCGCAAGAATATTAGTTTGGTTATGGTTAATAGTCATTTTAGTCTGCAACAATCTCGACCTTTACCTCCAAATTTTATCGAAATCGGTGGAATACATTTAAAACCGAATCCAGTTTTACCAAAGGAATTTGAAAATCATCTTAAAACAAACTTAAAAGGAGTCGTTTATTTAAGTTTTGGAACAACTTTTAAATCGGAAACATTCCCCGATTATAAATTAAAACCAATTTTTGAGGCCTTATCAGAAATTCCTTACAAAATTTTATGGAAAGGAAAAAGATCAGATGTAGCAAAACATTTAAATATTCCATCGAATATACAGTTCGTTCCGTGGATGCCACAATTAGAAGTTTTATGTACAACTTTATTTCTTTTGTAATCTATTTGTGTTAATGCATTAATTTTTAGGTCACCCTAATTTAAAACTTTTTATCAGTCATTGCGGGTTAGGTGGTGTACAAGAAGCGATTTATTGTGGAAAACCAGTTCTAGGTCTTCCAATTTGGGCTGATCAATTCGCACAAGCAAAAATAATCAATGACAAAGGTTTAGGTTTAACAATTCCGTTATTAAAACACTTTACGAAAGAGAACTTGTTAAATGTGTTGCAACAATTATTAGAAAATCCAAGGTAATGATTAACAATTTTGATAAATAGATTGCTGAAATTATGGAAGAACGGACGGAAACGTAACACATAATCTTTAAACTTTTAGATTTACTGAAAATGCTCGTCGTTCATCGGAAATATTCCGAGATAGACAAGTAAGTCCTTTAGATACAGCGGTGTATTGGGCCGAATATGTTATTCGACACAAAGGAGCTCCACATTTAAAATCAAAAGCAGCATATTTAACATTTTATGAATATTATTGCTTAGATATTGCGTTTACATTATGTTTTACTACTTTAATTTTGGGCTGGATTTTTTATAAGATTTCAAAAAGAATTTTAAATTTAATTGTTGCTTTTAGAGTATTTAAACGTAAGTTAGAATAACTTTTATAACCTTATCATTACCACAATGTATATTGTAATTATAAAGTTATACTATGTATAATATTAGTTATAATTTTTAATTATAGCTAACAATTTATTTGCTTCTTAAATAAATAAAGAAATAAAAAACGTTTTTAACGTTATAGATGTATTATTTTCATTAAAATTATATTTATTTGTGTTATTTCATACCAATATCTCATTTAGTTCTTGAGATACAATTTATTAAAGATTGTTGTCTTGCAAAATAACATCAAAAAATGTGGTTCAATTAAAAAAATTAAACTTTAAGAAATAACCTTGAACATTTTAAATTATAATCATAGAACTACATATACTTTAGACTTACTTTTATGTAATCCATTTTAATTCGTTTCTTAGTTAGAATAGGTTACTTTTCACTTTATGCATGGAGACCATCTAGGTTAGAAGCGACTTTATGTGCAACCTTAAACTCTGGGCCTTGATGGGTATACAAGTGATGATCTAAAAACGAGAGAATTTCTCAGATCAAGTTTTATGAGTTTGTTGCGGAACGAATATCGTGTTGAATGGTAACTCAAATGAGAGACAAGTTTTCAAGCTAGATAACTTGTTTTTGTCTAACATTATAATTAACCATATCAGCTTGCGAATGATACTGCTAGATGTTTCATAAAACTTTAAGTTTTAGGCAATTATAATGCATCACCTAAGATCGCCTTTCTATCCAATAGTTAGTAATGACCATAGATAACCCATGATTTTTTGTATATCTCGGTGGCCTACCGGGGTGGCACACATTGCAACTTAAATGGGATTCAATTCTATGTCGCAAGATTCTGACTCGTTATGTCAATATAATGGATAATGTAATAACAACGCCATTATATTTTCTAGGAAAGAGATTCAATGTTGGCAACCTTTCTAATGGTTTGTAATCAGTGATACCAGTAATTTTAACGTCATAGACGAATTCTTGAAAACGAGTCAATATCCAAGCAACAACAAATGCTTCTCCTTTACTGTTCAACAGTTTCTTTAAACATTATTCAGTATTATTGATGCATATTTAACATATAACGTGAAGAACATAACCACTATTACTTGATGCCTTTCTTGCTTGGTTTCATAGATTCTTATTTTGTTATCTGTTCGCATATATTGGTTTGACCAAATTGTGTCTCTTAAGCATCCCGATAGAGCTACTGCTTTATCTTCTTATGTTTCTAGCGTGGTCGTAACTGCAGTAGATGAGATCCATACCTAGATATCTGAATGTGTGGACTTGTTTTATGATTGATCTCTATAGATCAGCCTCAGTTTTCGCTATGATAACTGCATCATCGATATAGCACACCGTACTAATCATTTTGCTGCTGATTCTTTATCCCAGATCCAATGATGCTACCTGTTGTATAATATCATTCATTAGAAGGTTGATCAAAAATGGGCTTAAGCTATCTCGCTTTCTGATTCATCCTGGTGTTTCAATATTTGAAGTTGTGCATTCACCCCTTTTGACCCTTGTCACATTACCCTTGTTAAGACTGTGATTACAGGTTATGACTTGAGATGGTCTTTGTTTCTTGGTTAGTAAGAATGTCTGATAGGCGTACTTTGTCAAATGCCTTTGTTGTGTCTATGAAGTGGGTTTATTCAATTCTATTGATCTCTTTCAGGTTTGTTGATAAATATGGTGTCTGTTGTTGATGTATTTTTTCGGAATCCCAGTTGTCCTTTTCTGGTCTCAATTTACACTTCTAGCTTCTCTTTCAGAATGTTGGTAAGTTATTTCATACATGTGCTTAGCAAGGTTATTCCTTTGTAGTCGTTCGAACAGGTTTCTTGTCCTCTTTTTAAAATTTGAATTGTAATATTTCTGTACTACGCTGGTATTTGTGAGGTTTACAAAATGTTGTTAAACTGCGTCAGTAATTTTCCAGTAAGCTGCTCTCCGCCGTAATTTAGCAACTCGTTAGGTATGTTATCTGGTACGGCTGCTTTTGTGTTTTTCAGTTCCTCATCTGTTTTCAAATCAATTTCAGTTGTTTTAGATGCTTTTTGTTTACACATATTCATTTAATGGCTTCTTTCTGTATCTCAACATCGTCCAGACTTAGAGCTTCCAGAGATAGTGGTTCATAGCACTCCTGAACTGTCTCCAATACTCCCTCTTGATGGCTTTCATGCTTGTGTTGGATCTGTTTCTTCCTTCTATGCATATCGTACGTTGTTCTTCTTTTATTTCTTCGTAAAACCATGGTTTAGTGTGGTCAATGGCGTTTATATTATTTTTTCGTTTCCCTATATACTCTTCTGCAGCTTTTTATATACTGCTTTTTATTTGACTTCACGTTTGTTTGTTGTGTGGGTATTTTGTAATTTATTTGCCAGTCTTTTTTTGTAAAGTTTTCATGTTCTTTGTGGCAATAAGGAGTCAATGTTGTATTTTTCCACGTATATGGGCTTCTTTTTGATCTTCCTTGGCCGTTCCATTATTGTTTTGATTTTGAAAAGTTCTTTGATTCTTCTGCGTTCGTGGATATAGAGGAAGCATGTATACTTATAAGGTGTGCTATGATCTGTACTCTCAATATTCTGTCATTTACGTATACCTTTCGTGCAGTAGCATGCTAACACCAAAATTTGCTCTTTTTCGTTTTGCCATTCCGCTGTATAGCAAGTTGTACTCTTCATATTTTGATATATATCGAGTTTGTGCTTTTTTATTTCGATAATAATCTCCTGATGTTCATTGCATAGATTTTCTTCATTTTTGTGAGTAGTTTAGCTAACGTCACCTAGAAATGACACTTCTTGACACTTGTTGAGCTACTCAATCCACCCATATTAAAAGTGATTGATGAAGAAAGAAAGAGTAATGAATGTGAAATTGATTTTTATTTTACATCAACACAACAATATTTTTAACACCTATAATATCGCATCAAACATTTTCTATTAATTCCAATTATTTTGTTTACGTTACATCCAGTTGTTGTTTACAATATGTTATAGTATTTATTTTATCTAGGAACGCGACTTATTCGCATTTAAAAGCTACTCGTAAGCGATAATTGGCACCAACTTTATATATTAAAAGATTTTATATAAACAGAAATGTAACGTCACATGTGCTACATCACCTGTTTTTATCGCCTTACCGATAACAATTCTACTTATTTAGCAATGAAAATAATGAATAATACTACTCGCCAACCCACCCAAATACTAAAATTCTTTGAGAACCCAAGAAATTATTGCTTTGATACGGAATTTCCTCGAACTTGATAAAAAGTTATAAAAGTAGAAAATATACTTGGTTACTTTTCATTCATTTATAGACACCGCCCGAAATAAATTAATAATGATTTTAAAATTATTTCTGTTAATCACGTTATTGTACGTGACTTCTATTCAAACCGCTAATATTTTAGCACTTTTTCCATCATCATCTAGAAGTCATTTCATCGTTTTTCAACCGTTACTAGAAAAATTAGCCGAAAGAGGACATCAAGTTGATGTTTTGAGTCATTTTCCAAGAAAACAATCTTTAAATGGGTAATGATATATTAGTTTATTATTAATTATAACAATAAAAATATTTTTTTAGATATACAGATCTTAGTGTGAGAGGCGATGAAAAATATTACAGCTTTTATATAGATTTTGAAACGGTTAAATCACTTTCCTTCCGAGAAATTTTAACGGTAATGAATTATAATTGCGGAGTAAATATATGTAAGAGCATAAAAAATAATACAGCGCTTCAAAATTTAATGAGTAGTAAAAAACATTACGATTTGATTATAACGGAAATTTTTGTTAGTGATTGTTTAATTGGTTTTGCAAATATTTTCAATGTGCCAGTAATAGGGATGACGAGTAGTGTTAATCTTCCCTGGACAAGTGATTTAATTGGTTTACCAGATAATCCTTCGTATATTCCAAATTACTTTAGTCCATACACTGAAGATATGACGTTTTATGAAAAAATATTAAACACCATCGTTTTACATTTGACGAAAACTTGGCATAAATATTACCCGAATGATGAGACTAATAAATTTATACAAGAAATGTTTGGAAGAAACACTCCGCATGTAGATGAATTACGCAAAAATGTTTCTTTGGTTATGGTTAATAGCCACTTTAGTATACAACAATCTCGACCTATACCACCTAATTTTATCGAAATCGGTGGGATACATTTAAAATCAAATCCAGTTTTACCAAAAGAATTTGAAAATTATATGGAAACAGATTTAAAAGGAGTTATTTATTTAAGTTTTGGAACCCTTTTTAAATCAGAAATGTTCCCCGATTATAAATTAAAACCATTTTTTGAGGCTTTATCAGAAATTCCTTATAAAATCTTATGGAAAGGAAAGAGATCAGATGTAAACAAGCATTTAAATATACCAACAAACATTCACTTTGTTCCTTGGGCTCCACAATCAGAAATTTTATGTAATTATCTTTTCGTTATTTGTTTCATTGTAAGATTAATAACTCGGTTTTTAGGTCATCCTAACTTAAAACTGTTCATAAGCCATTGTGGTTTAGCCAGCGCCCAAGAAGCGATTTATTGCGGAAAACCAGTCCTGTCCATTCCAGTTTGGGTTGATCAATTATCAACAGCAAAAATTATCTCTCACAAAGGCTTAGGATTAACCATTCCGTTATTACAAGACTTTACGAAAGAGAAGTTATCAAATGTGTTACATCAACTATTGGAAAATCCAAAGTAAGTTGATAAAAAAATGCAAAGAGCGCAAAGTTATCTTAATGCTTTTTAGATATACCGAAAATGCTCGCCGTTTATCGGAATTATTCCGAGATAGGCTTACGAGTCCATTAGATACAGCCGTTTATTGGACTGAATATATTATTCGACACAAAGGAGCTCCGCATTTAACGTCGAAAGCAGCCGATTTAAATTTTTACGAATATTACTGTTTCGATATTGCGGTTTCTTTCGTTTTAGTTACTTTAATTTTAGTATGGAGTTTTTATAAAGTTTTGAAAAAAATTCTAAGTGTACGAATTCATTTCAAAGTATCTAAAAGTAAATTAAGTTAGTTTAACACATATAGTTTTTTATTGTAACAATATTTTTAAAGTAAAAGTAATTTTAAAAGAAAATTATCTGTTCACTTTATATAATTTTTTTCTTACAATCATTCTAGTTATTTTTCAAAAGAATTTAAACGACCGGAATCAAGTTATGTAAATGATTTTTCGGAATAACCACATGATTTATACATAATGCTCACCAGGAAACATTTTTCCTTTGTAATAGATTTTAAAATATTCGTATTATTCAATAAATTTTATTTTATATAACATGATATTTTGAATTATTACTCTACTGTTTCCATAGAGGAAAGTTACGGTTGCCTTATTAAGAAGTATCATGTAATGCAATAAAAACGGATTTGTGACATATTTTTGAAAAACGTTAGATTCGAAATGATGATAGCACATAAATTGTTAATTTACCTTTTAACGAGAAGATTTTATTCCTTGGAGAGCGTTATTGACGGCAGTTGGACATTTCTTTAACTTATAAAGATAAAGTTCGATAGAATACGAACTGTTAGGACACATTGAAGAAGCTGAAACTGTAAAGGAAGATGAATTATTTAATCGTTCTTATAAATTTGAGATTCTGGAGAAAAAATTATACATTCCTTTTTTAGTTAAGTTACGTAAGGTACATGTTGTGTTTTATACTTCGGAAAAAACAACTTGGTCCTTCCTAAAAATATAATAAAGTGCTTAGCAACAAGTTATACCAATATTTTCAACATTTTTCTGGTTGCGGTGGCCACATATGTCAATAATCCTATTCTTAGTTGCAAGACCTAAAAAACTCAAAAGATATGAACTAAAACTAGATCTAACATTAGCACTATCACTATCTCATGTTGTAACCTTCTTCAAAACCAATTTCAAAGTGACACACATTTTTTGTTACATGGCAACATGGAAATGAACGACACCAGAAATTCTTAGACCTCTCGTTACTCGCAAACCATGATCAAATTTACCATGGAAACGGAACTTCCAGGAACAGCTTTCCTGGATGTGTTGGTCACTAGGAGAACAGATGGTGCTGCATGAAACTGGGAGTGTATCTGAAGAAGACACACACGAACAGATATCTACACGCTTGGTATCATCACCATCCCCAACAAAAGAGGACAGTGATCCAGGCTTTGTTCCAATGAGCAAAAAGGATATGTGGCAAAAAAACAGAAAGAAGAGTGATTTCTAGAAGATATGCTCTAGAAGAATGGCAGAGGAAGGAAACGGTAAGTATCGCACCAGCCAGTTTTATCTGCCTCTCTTATACTTTTCACTTCGGCTAATGATGTATTTCAATCTGACAAAGCTATATTATACCTCTTCTATCTCCTTATATTGCTAGTGTAGAGTCAAGCTCAAGAGGGTCTTCTTTTTCTGCTTATTTTTTCAACTTTGTTCCCATCACACTGGGTAGATAGATAATGGTATAAATAGAACGATAAGGAGGACATATTCAAAACACGTTGTAACACTATGGAACGATTTAAAACATTACCTATTGAAAGCAAAGTGCATAAAGTAGGTTTTAAAAACGAACGACTCTCTCTATCACTGCCGGTCAACTGCAAGGCGTTAATCAGCGAACTGCTGTTGAGTACCAAGTGTCCATAACCCCGATCATGCATGCTTAAACATAAAGTGACTTTCCAGGAATGTTTAACGATATCAAAAAACATGGAATTGAGTATCGTTTCCTGATATGCCAGATATCGCCAAAATAGATTAATTGGTGTTAGAAAATCATGTGTGCTTCATAATTACTATGATAAACGATACTTCTACACACGATACTTGTACTTACTTAAAATTTCCTAAACTTCTATTACTTTTTACTACGATACTTCTAGACACGATACTTGTACTTACTTAAAATTTCCTAAACTTCTATTGTTTTCTACTGACAATAATATAGCATTTATAATGGAAGAATGGGAAAATAAATAAAGAAAGAAGGCAACAAAGATATAAATCCTAAAGCTCAACTAAGTCTAAATTCAATTAATACTTTTGTAAGAAAATTTGTAAGAAACGATGCCAGAAAGAGCAACAAAACGAACAGCAATTAAAACAAAACAATTAATGCATAATTTTTAAAATCTGGGTATGTATATCCTTTGTTTGAGAAAGTGGTCATCAAATACAACAATAAATAATACACAGATGCCTATTCTTAATCTAGTATTGAATGTTGATAAGTTCATATTCATAATGTATAGAAACATGACGATTAGTTATTATTATTATAATAATCTCTGTAACCAAAATTTTTAGTTGATTACGATAACTTATCTTTTAACATAACTAAAAATTAACCTTATTTACTTATTTCTACTTTGCTTTAAATATTACTGCCATTATTTCTAATGCGTAGGCTTTTCATTTACATTGATATTTTTTGTTTTCAATTGCATATTTAAAAAATAGCAGATATGCGATAATGCAGTACGTACAAGTATGTAGATTATGTGTCCCATACATTCCGTTATCTCCTTTAAAAACAATAGTCTCAATAACTGCTTTAACCATTTAGAAAATCTTGCATCAAAAGAGTTACAATGAAAGCCAACGTAATATCTCTATTTCAAATTTTGCTATTATTTTTTCATATTACTATCATCAAAAGTGCAAATATTTTGGTGGTATTTCCAAGTCCAGCTGAAAGCCACTTCCGAGTTTTTGCCTTGTTTTTCGATCAATTAGCTTTAAAGGGGCATGATGTAGATGTTTTGAGCCATTTTCCAAGAAATACACCTTTACGAGGGTAATAAAATGGTGAAAATAAACCAATTTATTATTATATTCTTTTTTATAGATACAATGATTTAAGCTTAAAAGGTAGCATACCAAAAATCGTATTCAATGCAGACCAGTATACATATTTAATGTGGAATCAATTAAATTTTATGCATCACCATTTAGGTCATATCATGTGCTCAAGAGTAATGAATACAACAGCGGCTAAGCAATTAAAGAAAACAAAGAAGAAATACGATTTGATGATAACTCATATGGTCAAGTCGCATTGCATGTATGGTTTCGCTGATTTTTTCAAAATACCAATAATTACGATCACATCATCAAGTATTCTGCCTTGGTTACCGGATGTTATTGGTATGCCAGATAATCCTTCGTATATATTTGTTTATTTGTTTATTACCACAAAAGTGTGGTTTAGTTTTCACAGCACTGTTGCGGCAAATAACTATCATAAGGAATTTTATGGGAAAAAATCGACTGATTTAGACAAAATAGTCAAAAAAACAAATTTAATGTTGATTGCAAGTCACTTTTCTTTTCATCAATCAAGACCAAGGCCACCAAATTTCATCGAAATTGCTGGAATTCATATAAAAGCGAATCAAAGTTTAAATGAGGAGTTCAAAAAGTATCTTGAAATAAGCACTAATTTAAAAGGGGTGATTTATTTTAGTTTTGGATCATATTTTAACACTGAAACTTTTCCTGGTCATATTTTACAAGCGTTTTTTGATGTTTTCGAAAATCTTCCTTATAAAGTATTATGGAAAGGTGACATAAAAAAATTCCCAAAAACTTATAACATCCCAAAAAATATTCACTTTATACCTCGGATGCCACAAATTCCCATCTTATGCAGTTCAAAAGTAAATTTGTTTATAACACACGGAGGTTTATCGAGTACACTGGAAACTATTTACTGTGGAAAACCAGTTTTAACAATACCGATTTGGTTGGATCAATTAAGTAATGCTAATTTGTTAAAAGCTAAAGGTGTAGGCAGAAGCATTTTATTTCATGAAATTAATAAAGAAAATTTTAAAGCAGAACTTGAAGAAGTTTTAGAAAATCCTAAGTAAGTTAATAATGAAAATTAAGAATTAATTGTAAGCAGATTTTTGTAGATATTCGAAAAATGTAAAGATTTTATCTGAAATATTTCGAGATCGTCTTCACCGATGGAAACAGCCATTTATTGGACTGAATACGTCATCAGACATAAAAGGGCTAATCATTTAAGATCAAAATCAGCAGATTTACCTTGGTACATTTATTATTGTATCGATGTAATTGTAATCCCACTGTTACTTTTGATTTTATCGCTATATTTTTTAACAAAAATGCTTCTTGTTTTTTATAAGTATATAACTATTAAAACTAAGCAAGATTGAAATCATTTAATTATTTTGATAGCTTCAAATTTATTTTTGTATTACTTTTAAACGAAACGTTAATATTTATTTTATAGCAAAGAAATAGATTTTAAGATTATCAGCCGTGAATCTATGCACAGAATCGTCAAATATCGTTTGAGACTGCGTAGCATGAAGTAGCGATAGAACGGATATCCGGCAACTATCCGGCATCCGGCCTATCCGGCCATTTTTCAAATATCCGGCTTTGGCCGGATATTAAAGACCATTCACAGGAATTAGTATCTCTTTGAGGTGTTGGACAATGTAGATAATAATCAAGTTCAACCCCAATAGGATTTTTTTCATTGAATACAACTTTGTTTATATCAGGTTTGTCTTTAGCAACTTCATTGTAACAATCCCAATACGATATATAAAATCTCTTGTTGCAGTTTCGTCTAGTTTCCTTCTCTTCGCTTGTAATTCATCATCACATTCATTACTAACAGAACTGTCACTGTTACCACTTTCGATTATTAATTAAAGTATCCTCTTCTTAATGCAAAAAGCCGTTTTAAAAAATCACTTGTAGTTCTTGAGAAATAAATTTTTGAAATAATCGACAATTTTTTTTCGAATTTTGCAATTTTCGCCGATTAAGTTTTAAAAATTCGTATAAAATCCAGTTCTTGGAATATGAGTATGAAAATTTCCCAAACTGTTAATAAAACTACCCTCTTTCCAATGAACCAACCCGTTTTGAAAAATAACTTTTAGTTTTTGAGAAAACAATACTTGAAGTTCTGATAAAATTTTCAATGTTGCAATTTTAAACGATAATTTTCAAAATTTGCTATAAAATTAATTTCTTGGAGGATCCTTGTGTAAATATCACCAATTATTAATTAAAGTATCCTCTTTTTAATGCAACAAGCTGATTTAAAAAACCGCTTTTAGTTTTTGAAATGATCGACAATTTTTTCGAATCTTGCAATTTCGCCGAAAAATTTTTAAACATTCGTATAAAATCCATTTCTTGGAATATAAGTATGGAAATTTCCCAAAGTGTTAATAAAAGTGTCGTCTTTCCAATAACCAACCCGTTTTGAAAAATAACTTTTAGTTTTTGAGAAAACAATATTTGAAGTTATGATAAAATTTTCGATGTTGCAATTTTGATCGATAATTTTCAAAATTCGCTATTAAATTAATTTCTTGGAGGATCCTTGTGGAATTATCACCAATTATTAATTAAAGTATCCTCTTTTTAGAGTTACTTCGTCAGTTAAATCAGCATCAAAAAAGTTCATTTTGTATCTTAGATCCAAATAAGTTGACATATCTTATCAGCTTTCTTATTAATTTCATTTTTATTCAAATATCACAATAATGGGGCAATGTAGGTTATCACTTCAGAAATGTACCAGAAATTATAACCATAATGGCCGGATAGATATGATAGATACACTATCCGTGCCATCACTAGCATGAAGGTTAACTATAAAAAATCCTTCAGACCAATTAATGTGGTCTTCACATAAGGGATGTCTATTATTTATATAAACCGTTAGATCATAATCAAAATGCATACATCCAAGGTAAATCCACACTGATTATTCAATTCATAAATTTTATAAATATAGAGGACATCTTTCATAAAAGGGATCGACGTGAAGATGTTCTCAAGAAAGAAGACATCATTCTATTTCTGTTGGTCTGTCTGATGGTACTTGTTACAAACTTGAGAGGCAGACAGAGTTTGCTGGTAAACGCCAAAACGATTTAGTTAATTTTCAGATTCCAATTATTGTGCAAATCATACCTGCACACATCTAGTTCCAATATACCCAATTATGAGTTTCATGCGACAATTTCATAATTTTTCTTTCCAGATATTTTGTAATTCCATGAAAATGTGGCCAATTTTGATACAATGGTTTGGCATAACAACATTTCCTACAACGGTTCTTTCTGTTGATATGGAAGGTTACTTGCAATGGAGCATTAGATAGTGATTATCCTTGTTGTTGTGACTTTCTTTAAAAATAACGATTCTGTGACCCCAACATAGTAGCAATTTCATTTACGTTTCAATGTTCCTCCTCGCGGGCTGATTCCATTTCAGAACATTATTATTTTGTGGGTTTGGAACTTTTGCAATACAGTTTTTATAACAACAAGTTACTGTACTAGTTGATCAGCTATTCGTTATGATTAGGATCTAGGAATACCCGACAGGGCTGTTTAGCAGTTTCTTCAATTTTCACCAGTACAAAATTATTGTTGTTCAAGAATTACAACATCCAGATTTCACAAGAAGATTAGCTTTGCAGAAACAATGTTAGGGATGATGACTGAAGATTCTGGAATGACTGCGTTGACCTCAGACGAAGCTCACTTCCACCTTAACGTCTCCGTTAACAAACAAACCTCCGTTATGCAAGAGCGTTTAGTATAGTTGTATGAAACTTTATGTTCAACCGAGTTGTTTATCTAAACAATCTCTATCAAAAACCTATTACAACACATCTATCTCAGCATAATTATTAACTTCATAGGAAAAAACTTATTTCTACTGTAGTTTTATTGCAATGCACGCTGTGGATTTGCTCAGTATGTAAGAATCTTCTTGACTAGGAGATCATGATTCGTATCTCCTTAGACACAAATTGTATGAACAATTTCTTTATGTACACTGTGCCAAATGCATTTAATCCAAATCCCTGTTCACAAGACGCTATTGTATATCCTTTCATCTTACCTGAAAAGCACGTTTCATCTACATCTTTTCTTTCAGCATCATCTCTAATGTTTTGAAATAGGTCATTATATATTAGTAATTCGACATAAACATTAATTGTGTATTACCAAGATTTGACATGATGATGAGTTTAACTTAATTTACTCTTTAAATCCCTAAATATTGAAATTATACCTACATGCAATCAAATATGTACATCACGTATCGGAAATAAACTTAAAAATATCATTGAGGTTCAGTCAAAAAGTTGCAAAGTTGTTAACCACAATTAATTTTTTCAATTATTTTAATCGAACTCAGAATATTTATTTTAATATTTAATTAATAAATTCTCAACTTCTTTGAGCACCACTTTTCAAACCCAAAGTGATGGATTCAAACTTCGTTTTGTTAATTAAATTTTTCTCCGAATTTCTCAACTTAATACCCGTTCAAAGTAGAACGTCTTGGCGATTTTTCTGAGCCAAGCAGACCGTCACCAAGACTTTTTAACTCGTTCTTAAATTAACTAAAAGGGGTCATTATGTAAACGTTTTAAGCTATTCCTACAACCAAATTAGAACGGAAACAAACAAATTTAACATTTTCAACAATTCTTATATAGTTGTTAAGTGTGGTTATAAATTGTTTTTTTAAAATAAGAATTGAAAGGTTCTACAGTTTATTTCACCAAAACGTAGATATTAAGCTCGACGTAGGCAAATACCCCACCGGTACCAAAGAGGGTCTTTGCATTAAATATTTAAAAGAGAAAAAATGAACCGCACACGATGATGGTAGACTTTTGATAAAGGGTCGACATTGTAGGGGTTTTTGGGGGGTGGACCCAGTACTACTATGGAGACTCGGCGAGGGTCTTCTTGTCCTCACGTAAGCTTCCTTCGAAGGATCAAGTCTCCGAGAGATTTGCCACACATAATCTTCACGTCCAATATTATATTTCTGCTAAGAAAAGATGAAACATAAAGAATAAAAAATCAAAAAGGATTCAAATAAATTGAAAAAGGGATGAAAGGAATAATTAAATTTGTTATAATATGAGATTGGATTTTTTTATTAGATGAAAAAAAATGGATACAAATTTAAAGGTATTTTTCTGGTGGGGGAGATTTTCAACATACATAAAGAGAGGGTATAGCTCCTTTATCCGGGGCTATTCCCGGGTCGACACAGTAATACCACAGGAAGCTGGCCAGCCCTGATAACGAAGGATAGCCCGAGCCCATCAACCCAAGTCTCCTCCTGTAGGATACGAGAACAGATAGGACGGGAGACCCCCACGTTTTTCGACAGGGGGACGTCCAGACCTAGCACCTTAGCGCGAATATTTGATCATTTTTATCGTTGTGGGGGACTGTTCCTCCAACATTGTGGCGGATCAGCAAATATTTACACCGACGTCGTCTCATGAAATAAAATAACCCGAGCTGTGCGTCATATTATGTCGTAAGAAAATCCTCCGAAAACATCAAATTATCTTTAAACAAGTTAGACAAGAATAAATAAAAACATATTTATTAAATAAACCTCATTTTATCAAATAAAAGTTACCCCATTTTTAACAGGTGGTAAAAAAAATAAATTTGGGGTGAAATCGAGGTAATCGAAACCCTCCATATCGAAAGCGTTTACCTAAAAACACCCATTTCGGCTGTCAACAGTAAATCGGGTATTGTTAACGATTATTTTTGCTTTTTGATTTTTTTGTTAGAAAACACTCTTTTACCGGTAAATTCCCGGGGCGGATTATTGGCCCTTAAACGACGGGGGGTGAAGTTGAACTGAATGATCTATGACACTTGAACGGTTCCGCGTTCAATTGTGCGACCATTAGGAAAGTGTGGGTTCCGTAACGACCTTATATTGGACGAGCTACCTGACTTTTACCACTTGTAAAATCATCTAGATAAAGATAATTTTTACAAATCACCAACCCCTATTGACTTTTTGAATACACTTCTAATCTAAATCAGATAAGAAAAAAATAGGTTACATCTATACAAAGGACTTGTATTACTGTTTTAACATTTTCTTTTAAATAATTTCTATTAATACTTATACTTTTAGAGTATTGGATTTTTTTTATCAGTTTTTAACAGTTAGATAGGCATTTTGTTAAGTTTGGGAAAATACGACTTTATCAGCTAGCTGCTTTATTCTAAATCACCTAGCTCCAGGGTAGGTAAATAATGTGTGTATGACACTGGTTGTGAA